GAATTGATATGAAGTCATGATAATTAAACTCATTAAGTTAAAAGCGTGTTTCCAACAAACTTATACATAAATACTGTTCTAGATATGCAAGCAAAAAATTGCAAATAGATAATTTCAGCAAATTCGAAATCTTTAAATTTTGTTAACACCACGTGTGATAATAAATACAGAGTTCTGTCGACTAACAAAAAAGTTGTTTGTTATAGAATTATATTTCAAGGAAATTACATCCGAGTATGAATATTGTGATGCTTTTTTAGTTGAAACTGTCAAGAAATTCATAAAATTAAAAAATGATTTTAATTTTAAACTGGTTTTATTTGTACCTTGTGATTATTATACATAAATAAAAATTATAAATTTCGAAGAAAAATTATTTCTAATTGTGAATATTGTAATGGTTTTTTAGGTCTGTGTTTCGAATGAATTTCTCTGGACATAATTGACATTCATACAGTTTTTCTCCGTTGTGGATCCGAAGGTGTCTAACTAAGTTTCCTTTTACTGAAAATTTCTTTTTACACTCGTCACAAGTGTAAGGCTTTTCTCCAGTATGCGTGCGAAGATGTGTAATTAAGTTCGCCCTCCATGAAAACTTCTGTTTACATTCATCACAAGTGTAAGGTTTTTCTCCAGTATGCATGCGAAGATGTTTGATAAAGCTTCCTTTTTCAGAAAACTTCTGATTACACTCGTCACAAGTGTAAGGTTTTTCTCCAGTATGCGTGCGAAGATGTTTAATTAAGTGCTCCTTCCGTGAAAACTTCTGTTCACATTGATCACAAGTGTAAGGCTTTTCTCCTCTATATATTCTTTCATGACGTTGCAAGTTTTGTTTAGTTGTGAAGTTCTTCTTACAGTGTTTACATGAAAATTTCTTTCGGTTCCTATTATCTGCAATTAAAAAAATTGTTTTAAATAATATTTTATCTGTGTGTAATAAAATAATTTTTTTCAATAGAAGCAATAAATAACCAGTAATAGTATTTAACTAAAAATAAACATTTATATATCGAAAAGCACATTTCTGCATCAAAACATGAAAACTAATTTTAGAAATGACAAAGTTCGAGTATAAATATATCATATTAGTGATATTACTAATGTTATTTTCAAACACAGATAATTCAGACTGACATATTAAAGAAAACAATTTCTGTAAAACATTTTAAAGTGTTTTTATATCTTCATGCTCTTTCCATTGATCCTTATTTCATGAAATAGATTTCTCTCCTGCTTCTTCAAGTAAAACACTATCGAATATACAATTTTTTTCTATAATCTTGGAAAATATTTTCTTCTAAACGTTGTGTTTCATCCAAAGAACAACTACAAGTAATAACATCACATATGAAATAAATTCTATAAAATTTAATTTAATTTGACTTTAACATTAGAATGTTTTATTCATAATCCTATTCATTCGTATTGTTAAATGTATAATTGTTTATGTTAAATTCGAATAAAACGAATATTGTATTTAAAAAAATACTTCCTTCATAAAAAGAAGAATTCACAACGTTCAAGCCTGTAAAATAGAAATTTTTAAGAGGGAATAATGAATTTCATTCTTGCAAGATTGGATTTCGTTCTTTTCCTTTTTTTTTTAGTTTCTGTTTTCTGTATTTTCAAGATGAAAATTAACTAAATGAAAAGAATAAAACGATCATAAATATAAGACAAATTCATATTCGAAGTATTTTGTACAATGATTAAAATTTCCATTCTCTACTCTAAATCTTTTAAAATATATATTAATAAATTTCCTTCTTTAATTATTTCATATTAACAGTGTACACATTTAGTAACATTACAATAAATTTTTCAGAAATCTTCGCTGGATTCGAACCTCAACTATGATCATATTCATTAATTAAAAATGCTTTTATTAAATTTTATCTAATACATCATTAAAATAAATCCAGCAACGAGCAACTTTTTTGAAGCATAACTCCTTTGCTATCTATAGAAAATTTCTAAAATTTTCAGGAAGGATTCTGTATTGGGGTTATTGATGCAATTCAATTTTAGTGGTTAAAGGTCGAGCGGGTAAAGGAACAAATGCGGGTTTTGTGTCATATCTCTGGTAGGGTCAAACTTAATGACTATATTACTCGTTATTATCATTGACAAATTTTTAATAAAAATCATCCCTAATCTAAAAAGTAAGCGTTTTGCTATTTTAAGATAATCAATAATATGATATTTAATAATTAACAACTTTTTATAACAGGTGGCGGCACACACACAAATAAAATGTTATCCATTCTTTAAATAGGCCTATTCCTGGTTGGCAATTTTCTGTCGACTACGGTACTTCCGATTTCATTCATTTTTGTATACCATTTGGTGTTAAAAGCTACAGGTATTTCCGTGTGTAATTAAAAAAGAAATAAAATTTGTGCGATTCATAAAAGAAATTTAAAACAAAGTCGCTCGCTGTCTGACTTAATTAATAACGAGTAATTAATAACAAGGCCCTTTTCCCGAGACCGATCGAACTTTGTGACACGGTGCTACTCAAACTGTGGTCTGCGGACCACAGATGATCCATCTTATCTATGTGAAATTAAACAAAAGAAAAAAACAAAAACTGGATGAATGAACACTGCTCTAACTCGTGTCACATCTATTGTTTTAAAATCTTTATGTAGTAGCCAATCAATCCCAATCTTACATATAAATTACTGTATTGTTACATAACTTTATATTTTTATACTTAAAGGATTAGATAGGCTATATAAAACATATATGTTTATAAATTTAGATAATAAATTTATAAACATTTAATCTGAATTTTAAAGTAATTTGATTCTGTTTTCTTTTTAGCAAGTTAATTAATTAATCTCGAAAAATAAATCGTCGTTGTCAAATTTTAACTCGTGAATTTCGTTATAGCATGTTACGGTGTTACGGAAGCGTAATTCGAGCAAAGTTCGGGTTGCCCCCCCAAGAAGTAGTCACAATAAAGGCTAATTCTGACTAATTCCGAACTCGTTTCTACATTCTGGCGGGAAGCGCCTGTCGAACGCAATAACGGGTATTTGTAATAGTAGTTTCAACGTGGGCTCAGATAGTTCCGTTTTAGTGTCCATTATATGATTTTATGAATGAAAAATTACAAGTTGTGAAAGCGCACGTCAATATATTATATATATATATATACCCACACGGTGGTGTAATTGGTAAGTGTCGTCTCGAGATTTTTTTTTTCATAACTACTAAAATGCTATTGGAAGGTTTTTTTTTTTATATTTTGTCTCTAAAAACGCATATTTTAAAA